AGTGGGTGGTATTTTTTACCATTCTTCCCCTTGATCCCATGAAGTTTTTTAAGCTCTTCGTCCAATGTAGTTTCAATATACGAGGAGAGAGTGGCACAGAGTCTAGTACTATCTTTGACTGGATCGATTTCCCTTATAAACTCCTGAGAAATATACTCTCTGGATAACCAGCGTGCCAGTTTGGTGGCTTTATCGACCCTGGAGCCATCCGAGTGCAGTTCTAAATTATTTGTTATCTTTTCGTAGGTTGATCAACTTGCAAAATCTAGGCAATAATTTTCTATGATCTCTTTGGCATGTTGCCCGTTGTTACTTATCTTCCTGTAGAATGGGGCGATAGCGCAACAAATATACATAAATAAAAAAATTGAACTTGTAGCTGACTGTCGCTCACGCTAAGAAGAGAAAAGCATTGGGGAGCTACAATTTGAGCTGACTGTACGCTTAAACATTAGTTAAATGTGATTAAAAGCTCTTTTAAGCATCACAGCTTGTCATAAAAGAAACAAAATATCTCAAAAAGAATCAATAGAAATCTAATTGAAATTTTATGTGTGACAACTGTAACTCCCCACTTGTGTAGAATGTATGTAGTGTTTGTGTACCTGGCTGTACACAGCTACTCGTCTCCACTTTTATGCATACGATCAACAAGGCGTTTGGCCAAGCGTTATGTTGCTTGAAGCCGAAAAGCGAACTTGTACAATTTGACTTGGGCTTTGTCAACAAATAAGATGTACTATAATTTTAAAATTCTACGTGTTTATCAAAGAAATATGCGTAGTAAAAGGCGAATCTTAAAAATATGATTGATAAGGAAATCAAAATAATCCATTACTATGGAAAGCACCAGCCAAAGAACTATACACGGATTATGTACGTTTAAAATACATGAAAGCCCTCGTTGATTAAAAACAACGGAGTACGTGCTCATGCCCTCAGTGACCTATCGTTTTTCTCTAGCCAAACACAAATGTAAGCACGAGCAGCCTTGAAAAATCTGAAGTGTGCATACACGACTTTAAACTATATTAAATCAAGTAGCATGATAAAATAAAACGCTGACTTACGTAAATATTATCCAGGGAGTGTAAGGACTCTGCTCAGCACTTGAAATTAACCACAAGATCGGGCGCCATTTATAACGGGTTGTCCGTATTCACTAATGGCCCTGATAGGCACTTATTTACGCTAGGAACGAACACTCTGACCAGAACTGTGCTTCCCGGGTACCCACGGAGATATACTCACGTTACAACGTGGGCAGTAAGTCCACTTTTCCTTATTCCCGTCTGCCTGCTGAGGGGTCATCTCAGCTCTGGCTTTACTCAGGATGCTCACATGCTGGTGTTTGTACATAAGCTCACGGAGGCGGCTAAATAAGACTGGTACTCAGCTTACAATTCCTCTTTGTACGTTATGATTTCTAGTTAAAGCCTGTAAATGAGAAAGCTTTTGGAAAGGCTTCCTGCGGGGAAAAGCTCACGCAAATCAGGACACAAACATCTAATAATATGAAGAACTGAAACTATATTACTTGCACTTAAACAAAATCATATGAGGGTGTGTGTGTGTGTGTGTGTGTGTGTATGTTTGGCTTGATCGCGCTAATTATAAGGCCCATACGACCAGGACGGCTTCCTTCACAGAGTCAACAGTATGTAATAATTTAGCCAAGCACAGAGAGATAACGTGGCTATCACGCTTTTTGCGCACGTACTGCGCTTACCTAGCTTTTCGTACCCTCGGAGTTGCTCTCGTGGGATGAGAGACTGGTATGTTAAGAAGAACTCTTCGCCCAATCTCTAGCTGGCAAGTAGTTTAGTCGCAGGTGTGGAATGGCAGTAGCTGCCAAGGCGATAGTGAGGTTATTCGGGTGTCATGTTACGCTCAGTGGGTGAGAGACGTACGTGTGTACACTACCTATATCTAATCTCCTCTGACATAATGGCCAAGAGTGTCTTTCGCTAATTCCTATATCAAGACACTTGTCTCTCCTTACCTTTCTCTCTCTCTCTCACACGTATTATGACTCTTTCTCTCTGGCCTTTCTTTCTCGCACAGTCTAAGTGAGCGTTTACGGTGCTCAAGTATTAACCACCCGTTACAACATAACTATTTAAGGGTATGCACAGTTTTTTGGAAGAATATCAATTAAATTTTTGTGTAAATTATCTTTTTATCTAGGACATCTTAAATTATCAGGTCAATAAAATTATTCAATAAGATACTCAATATATTGTATTGTAGACTATTTTATTGCATGTTTAATTTTGTAAAAAAATAATAAATAAAAATAATATTATACATAAATGTTGTAGCAAAAACAAATTTTCATATATAAAAATTTCTCTTTGATACAAACTAAGGTATATCTTAGTATATAATTCCTTAGTAACTTTTTTGTTTGTAACTTATGAATAATTATCGTGTAGAAAAAAAAAAAATATTTGTGTCATAAAAAAATGCAAAAATATGTCCAAAAAATTGATGTATCTACAATAGTATGAGAATATGTGATGTTTCTTATCAAATAATTTATTTGTTACGAGGCATTTTAAAAGTCATAAAATGGATGTCAAAAAAAATTGTCAAAATTTTTGGAATGGTTACGTAATAGCAGAGCACTAAAAGGGTTGTTTATAATTGTCTCATGAGAGTAAAAAACAATGGTTTATTCTAAAAAAATATCTAACATGACAATTATCGGCGTATTTTTAACAATAGTTCATACTTGAAAGATAATGTTAAAAAGTATAACTTGTCTGTGGAATAATGCAAAAAAGTATTACCTTTTTCACGTAGCCTGCAAGAAAGAATAATTCCTTTATTTGATGTATATTTTATTTGAAGACAAACAAGATATTGAAATAGCTCCTTTATTCTAGCAGGTACAAAAACTTATTTATTAAGGGCAATGGGTGAAAAAAGGGGAAAGAAAGAAGTAGTCTTATAGAGAGCTGGCAGTGGGGCAACGGAGAAAAGGAAGCCAGAAAATGCTTATAGCTTGTCGACATATGCTATAAAATGAAAGAAAAACTACGTTATTTGAGAAACAGCTAAGGGGGAACAAGGGGGAGCATTAGGGAGTGGGAGGAGCAAAAACTAGCTCAAATTCTTTACAACTATATAATATAAAAAGATATATATGGACGTGCTTTCTCATATGAATGTATACATTTTCTTATATAATATAGTTGTTAGAACCTTACTAGTAGCTAGGCTCCCTATCAACCCCTGGCTCCCATATCTACCCCCATTCACCTATTGCTGCTGCTGACATACTTGTCTCATTTAGCTTGATTTTACCTTATAAAATTTATATTATTAGATACCCTCATCCATCTCTCCTTACCCCTGTTCATCATTTTCCCATCCCTTTATTAAACTGGCAGATTTTCTTATCACCTTATAGTAAAAAGGATCAAAGTATAGTATAACAATGCTACGTAAAAATTATACTTTCTCAATTTATTTTACTTTTGAGATAAAATCATGACGCATCGGCTTTTATAAAAATTGCAAGAAAGTTGTGGAAGTCATTATAATATTAGCATAGTCAGTATTATTATTTAGTATGTATAGTATAAAGTTAGCAACATCAAATAAAAGAACAGATATTTTCATGATACTGTTCCTCTAATAACCAGAAAAAAACTATCTCTTAATTAACTGAGAATATCTTCATATAATATATAGGTGAGAATTTTAATGATAGCTGAGACCCTAATTAACCCCTGCCTACTCCTGGCCACTAATGTATATTTTGGGTCTGAAAAATAATAGTTAAAATTCTTAAAATTTACATTTTATTTTGTACAAAAAATTGTTGATTGAATATTTATATCCAAACCATATTTATAATCTTAAATTCACTGTTTAACTCATTTTGCATGTTTATTTATTTTAGATTTTTACTTCTACAAAGAAAAGCATACAATTAGCAATAAAAAAAAGAATTTCTTCTTTTGGTGGAGCCCTACCTTATTGAAACCTTTTTATTGTGATTCAATTATCGTCATTACAAAAACTGGTTCAAACAGAAATAATTTTCTGTGGAAAATGGAAAGTAGTTATGAAAAATTTTTAACATTTACAGTGATTCATACAATAAACATCTTATTTTAGATTTTAACCTGTGATAGTTTATGCCTAAATGTTGTGTTTGAAGAATTTTAAAAGTCTTATTCTTGATCCATTGCACAATTCATGAGATAGGTATACTTTAATTTCTCAATATCACTACTATGGAGTTGACTTCCAAGTTTGTTCATGTGGTAGGAGGCCACTATTTAAAGTATTCAAAACTTTCGAAGTAAAATATTAATGTATATTATTATAAGTTTAATTGGCAGCCTAATGAGTTGCGTAGGTAATACTATAATAAATTTTAACATTATCTTTTCCATTATTTAAAACTTTTTTATTCGATAAATTCATGTATTTATTATGTATTTAAAAAATGACATTTTATTATACATTTTTGAAATAACGTCATTTGTTGACCAATACACCCAAACTACTAACTTGTTTATTCTTTCTTTACCTGTATCTAATATCATTAATTCAAGATTTTTATGAACACATTATAATTTTTTTTTGCAAATTCAATATATTAAATCGTGCCGTGTATACAAATACTCTACTTTTTCTTCTATTACTTTTGATCTTCAACTGTTTTTCACTGTTAGTACCATTTGACAGAAATAACCACTTAACATTATTTGTTTCCTTTTAAATTATTTCTCACTATCATATTAACTACTCAAAGTGGTGTTTACTCTTTCTAAAATTTTATTTGTAAATTATTCTAGCTTCATCCCAAATCATCATATTTGCTTTTCATCACACTTTTTTATCATAAACTTTGTCTGAATGTAAAATTGACTAAGTACTTGCTTGTAACATTGAAAAACAGTAAATACTATTAAACTTTATTTGTGACCCTAAAAAATATTTTAAGAAAACGAATGACATCATAATCAAATTGGTATACTTACATGAATAGATGCACCACCTTCATCTTCACCACCACCACCTTCTTCTTCACCTTCTTCTTCTTCTTCACCACAAGATTTTGAGATAATCTGAGCATAACTCATGTACAGTGGATCCTCTTGTAAAGCCCCCGATCTTTCTGTCATGGCACCTCGACAGAAAGTCGTAACAAGCTGTGTCAGTGGATCCGGCTTACCCTCATCTACTACTTTATCCATCTTTTTTGATTCAGCATCCTCAAACGTTTGCTGTAATAATTTTTTTTTTTTACTTTTTAATTACAAATTTGGTATCCTAGATCGCTATGTTGTAATATTTTTACAATCTTTAATGAGTTCTGCATTGTTAAAAACAATTTATAATTTACTTGAAATGCATGTAAGAGTCTTATTTACCATTTACTGATGTTTTCTAATACTTAAACATAATTTTTTTTTTTAATTCTAAGGCTGAGTATTGTATGTACGACATACTGGAAGGAGGCTACAATAATAAAATAGATGCACAAACATATACGAAATGAAGTTGGATAATACGGATAACGAGGTGATATAAATGATCCTAAAACATAATCTAGAGTCATGGGCTGAGTTGCAGGAGGCTCGTAAAATACAGAGACTGTTTAATATTAAAATCATAAATAAACTCACACCAAACGTGGTACGACAGAAACTAGATCTAGGAAGTCAGACAACTATCATGGGCACGGTACAACATAAAGTTCGTTCAACAAATTATGTGGTGGAACATGGAGCAATCCATTCATTGACTTGGAATAATAGAAGTAATGCAATGAATGGCTTAATAATGACCACTCGGCAACAACGTGAAGGGACATGGGCTGAGTTCAATACTTGGGAGGAACTTCTATACACTTAAAACAATAGCACAACAAATAGAGATAACAATTCTAATAAACCTAAAGCTTTCATAACAGAGTAAATGCTCATAATTTTGTAGAGATACATTATTCACATCGAACGGGTGATACGTATAAAAACATGCAAAATCAGGTTTCATTGCCACCGGAATACACAATATCAAACCTTTACAAGCGCGTTACAAAATTCTACAGCTAAATAAATATATCTTACTAGCAATATAGAGGTATTCAACATTGATTTAGTCAAATTTCCAATATTTAAACAAATGACCAAGTTGGTGGCTTTCACGAGAAACTCTTTATATAAAACTTTATAATAGGAGCTCTTGTCAACAGATAGCACGGTTCGCGTTGATGTACAAATTTTTAATGGAAGTAAAGAATAACTTGACCTGCACCAGTAATGTCACAACTTTATTTGCAAAACTAAGAATTACATAACAACAAAGAAAAGAGTCAGTGGACTAATACTGTAACCGAGTCCAAGCAATATAAAGCCGAATAATTACCCAATCCGTATACGTCACAAAACCAATTTACTCGAGAGCACGAAAATTTTTTCTTAAAGATGATGTTACATCCCAAGTTGATACATACAAATTATATGACAAGTGAAAGCACAATTTATTTGTCAAATTCATACAAGACATACTGTGTATATACACAAACTCATTTGACAAGTGGAGCTTATGCATCACTTATTTGCGTGCATGTGTGTATTAGCTTCAAGATTAATATTTCATAACATGCTGACACATAATGCGACCAGCCTCGTTGTAAGAATGCATGTGTGTATTAAATGGGTACATTATATGTAAGGTTAAAGTACTAACTACTGGTCACTTAGCAGCTGTTATCAAAAGAACATAATATATTTTAATCAGCTATTAAGACTTTAACTTTTGTTAGTTATCTTTTAAAAGCCATGAATCTACTTTAAACTATATAATAAATAAAAATCGTATATCCGACTGTAGATAACAATTACTCATAATTATCTGAGTATGTCAGATGCTTTAGTACATGGCCACTGAAGAAAAAGGTTGCTTTAATGGCCTAAATTTAGAAGCCAATAACTGGTCACCCCATGCTAAGCTCGTACATAACTTATGGTGGCTGGCTACTAGTGCTCGCCAAAAATGAGGTTATGTACACACTTAAAGTACAAGTGCTCTAGTACTTTTTTTTTTTAATTTAAAAAAATTTTTTTTTAAAAGTCTTGAACTAAAAAAACTAACTTCTTTGCACTGTTAAACAAGTTATTGATAAGCTTTTACCGTAATGTTATTCTGTCACGGATGAGTATTATAGGTAATTTTTATAATTAGTTAAATGGCGTTGGTAGCCAGGTACTGGTCGCGGCCAGTAACTAGTGCCTTTACTTTATGTATACACGAATCATTTTGTATGTATCAATGAATAGTTAAAAAATTTAAAAGTAGAAAAAAAGACAAAGTATACACAGACATAACCAAAATAACTTACGAGGTAATAAAAGTACCAATACAGAAAGTAGAGTTAAGAGAGCAGATGTAGACATTGCAGACCAAATCTTGCTATTATATAAAGAGACAGCGTTTGTTTGCATGTTCACAAAAATCACAAAAACTACTGAACCAATCTATTTAAAATTTTGACAGAAGTTTAACTACAACTTCTAATGTGTCATAGTTGATTGAAATTAACGATAACTCTAATAAAATTATTTTAATGCTACTTATAATAACAAACTGCTAAACAGCTCTGAAAGGAAGTCTTAACTTTTCACCGCTAGAGAGCAAGTAGTTGCAATATTACTTCTCGCTGACTGTGCCTCTCCCAGAATTAATTTTGTGGAGTTTTTGTTATAAGCAAAAGTTCCAAGTCTTCAGTAACGTGTGTCATGGACATCAATCAGCACACAGCTAATTTTAAGAGATAACGATTCTCATGAAATTTTATATCTCCTTTCAAATTAATCAACGATCAAATTTTGATTATTCCTGAGCGTATGTGTTGTGAAATAAATGTTTAATCTTACAAATGTACAAAGGAAAAACGCAAAAATCGTCATAATCACAAACCACAAACATAACTCAACCATTTTTTCTGCAATTTCGCAAACTATTTTTTGACACTTCCTAGATAAATTAAATACAGTTTTTATCTTGAAAAAATTAATAGAAATAAATAAGCTCAAAGGTTTGCAAAATATGCTTGTCTTTTACTTTAGTTTAGTAGGATCCACTAGATAGCGTAGAAGTTAAATCAAAGCTACCTGCAATAAAATACAGTGAGTCTGGTTATAATTTCCACAAGCAAATTTCCGTATGTCATTGTCGTTCACTGGAAGTGCAGAAAGCATAAATCTGGGAGTCATGCTGCTGGGTATCCTGGCTATCAGCGACACACCTTTCTAATGGACAAATGGCTTACATTAATCTTCATCCAGAACCACCCAAATTAATGGATCCCACCAATCAATAGGCTTTCTGATTGCCAATGTTTTTGGCATAATACCAGGAGACGTCTAGCCAAAGCATAATCTGCTCCAGCAAAATGGGGTTTTATGGCCGTTCTTCCAATCAACCTAGTGCCACCAGAGCAGATTTTGGTACAATAGCAGGCCAGGGAAAGCAACCCTTGAGGAGCTTCGGCAGCCACAACAGCCTCCTCCTGAGTGGTTCGTCCCAACAGCATACCCATAGAAAAAGTATTGTCCAGTCATAATTTTCTGACTCATGATGATCGGTTTAATATCCGAGACGAAATTTTTTTTGGCCAGTGGCGTATCTTTCTCCAGCATGGTCTCCATACATAAAAACTCTGAGGGTAAGAGTAAAACTATCCGCAGCTGTCTCTCTATCATCAGAAATAATAGTAAGAAACGGCTAGAAGTATCACTACTGATCCTTTTCAGGGCCATAAAAATTATTTACGTTTCCTACTTTACCATCAATCTTATCGGTTTCCTTACCAGCTTTCTAACGTTTAATAACTTTGCCAGCAATACATTTTTACTACCATTTCCGGCAACGATTCATCGACTAAGAGACTCTATAAAACCGGTCAATATTGAATCAAGTCAGTCATTCACTGGTGGACGCCACAAGCAGAGTTATTCGTCACGAAGCTGAGAAACCCAGTCACCAATGACCCTGCATTACCCTCTTGACTCCAAATATTCAACGAGAAATCATTGACCCTCTACAAGGTTTGCTCTGGACGATCCTAACTGCTATAAAGGAAAAATAAACTTAAGCAAACGGGATAGTCTTCAACGGGCCAGTATCCTAAACTGATCTCCCCACCTTAGATCACCAAAAGGATCGAGCTCTACGAAAAAGAAAAGGTGCTTTAGACACTAATATCTCCAGCGTTACAGTGCTACAACAACAGGCCAGAGAAGATCACCTCGAGGTATCCAAGTAGTTTTGTTTGCTGGAAACTTTAGCCAAGAAACAGTTTAGCTCACCAATCTTTTTTCGAGCACTAAGACGTCAAACTACCTTGAACAAATATATTACAACTTAACAAAATTAACAAAAAAACTGTAGTCACAAAAGGAAAAATTAAAAGAAAAACCTTAAAATGTTCAAATGTATACAATTTTAGGTATCAAAAAACTGACGCAGAATATTTATAGAGACTTAAACAGCAGGGTCAAAATTGACTAGTAAAGCATTTATTACATAAGAAATCAATTTTCTAATAACCCTTACTACTCTGGTAACAAAGTAGTAAGACTGAAAAAAACAATTTTTCTAACATATTTCATTGTCATATTTAAGCCTTTACAGTTTAAACAAATAGCCCTTTTCACTTACTATTCCATAAGAAAGTGCAAATCAACGACCCTTAAGGACCAACAACCATTTTATGGTGTACGGAATACATGGTACTGAGTTCACGTAGGCACGACAATTTGACACAGTCCCATTTTTAACTAACGGTAATATGTCGCACTGTCACGTCTACATGAACAGCCTCACTGTCCAGCATAAGTTGAGGACCGCATTCTCAGGCCCAAAAGGGCACTACCAACATAAAAGAATGCCCGTTCTGCAATTTACCAAATACCTTTATACAAGTAATAACACTAGCACTGGCAGGACTATAGGGCCATAAAAATCGAAATATGTATAAACATTATAAGGGTGTTTGGGGAAAACCTGGAACAATATAGTAAACAATTAAATAAACGATTAAAAATATTAATCAATGCAAATTTTATCATGGAGCTAAAGAAATCCTCGTTTCTCAAGTAAGAGGCAAAGATACTTGAACACATAGTCGAAAATGGGAAAATAAAGACAAATCTACATTAAGTGAAGGCTGTGAATAAATTGTAGGGACGCAGAAGAACAGGCATTTACCAAACAAAAA